GGAAGCAGAAGTTATCCTCCCGCAGTCTTCTGGGACACATGACAGGTCCCAGAATACTACGGGATCATTCACAATGCGCAGCGCTGCTCACACATGAGCCGTGGGAACCCGGCTGTGAAGCCGTAAGATATCGCAGATGGGTGCCCACACTTAAGATGCCGGCGCTGGGGGGAGAGGACAGCTAGTGAACACGACTGCGGTGAGCACACCGCCGGATCGTGGGAAAGACAACTGATGTTTTTTCAAAAGTCAACAGCTACAGTTTTTTTTACAGTTTATTATTTTCAGAGGGGACTGGAGATCCACTTTAAATACATTTTAATATTATGTACAGTCTGAGGTTTTTTTTTAATATATATACAGTCATGGCCGAAATTGTTGGCACCCTTGATATTTTTCCTGAAAATCAAGTATTTCACACAAAAAAGGTATTGCATTAACACATGTTTTGCTATACACATGTTTATTCCCTTTGTATGTATTGGAACAAATATAAAACAGAGGCAGAAAAGCAAATATGACATAATGTCACACAAAACCCCAAAAATGGGCTGGACAAAAGTATTGGCACCCTTAACTTAATATTTGGTTGCACACCCTTTGGAAAACATAACTGAAATCAGTCGCTTCCTATAACCATCAATAAGCTTCTGACACCTCTCACCCGGAATTTTGGACCACTCTTCCTTTGCAAACAGCTCCAGGTCTCTCTTATTGGAAGGAACCTTTTCCCAACAGCAATTTTAAGATCTCTCCACAGGTGTTCAATGGGATTTAGATCTGGGCTCATTGCTGGCCACTTCAGAACTCTCCAGCGCTTCTTTGCCATCCATTTCTGAGTGCTTTTTGACGTATGTTTGGGGTCATTGTCCTGCTGGAAGACCCAGGATCTTGGACGCAAACCCAGCTTTCTGACACTGGGCCCTACAGTGCGACCCAAAATCCTTTGGTAATCCTCAGATTTCATGATGCCTTGCACACAGTCAAGGCACCGAGTGCCAGAGGCAGCAAAACAACCCCAAAACATCATTGAACCTCCACCATATTTTACCGTAGGTACTGTGTTTTGTTCTTTGTAGGCCTCATTCCGTTTTCGGTAAACAGTAGAATGATGTGCTTTACCGAAAAGCTCTATCTTGGTCTCATCTGTCCACAAGACGTTTTCCCAGAAGGCTTTTGGCTTACTCAAGTACATTTTGGCAAACTGTAGTCTTGCTTTTTTATGTCTCTGTGTCAGCAGTGGGGTCCTCCTGGGTCTCCTGCCATAGCGTTTCATTTCATTTAAATGTCGACGGATAGTTCGCGCTGACACTGATGCTCCCTGAGCCTGCAGGACAGCTTGAATGTCTTTGGAACATGTTTGGGGCTGCTTATCCACCATCCGGACTATTCTGCGTTGCAATCTTTCATCAATTTTCCTCATCCGTCCACGACCAGGGAGATTAGCTACAGTGCCATGGGTTGCAAACTTCTTGATAATGTTGCGCACTGTGGACAAAGGCAAATCTAGTTCTCTGGAGATGGACTTGTAACCTTGAGATTGTTGATATTTTGCCACAATTTTGGTTCTCAGGTCCTCAGACAGTTCTCGTCTCCTCTTTCTGTTGTCCATGCTTAGTGTGGCACAGACAGACACACAATGCAAAGGTTAAGTGAACGTCTCTCCTTTTTATCTGCTTTCAGGTGTGATTTCTATATTGCCCACACCTGTTACTTGCCCCAGGTGAGTTTACAGGAGCATCACATGCTTGTAACATTCTTATTTATCCGCAGTTGTGAAAGGGTGCCAATACTTTTGTCCAGCCCATTTTTGGAGGTTTGTGTGACATTATGTCGAATTTGCTTTCTTTCCTCCCTTTTTTTGTTTTGTCCCAATACACACAAAGGGAATAAACATGTGTATAGCAAAACATGTGTTAATGCAATACGTTTCGTGAGAAATACATGATTTCCTGGAGAAATATCAAGGGTGCCAACAATTTCGGCCATGACTGTATATATATATATATATATATATATATACACATACATACACACACACAGGTATAAAAAAGCAGGCTCATATGCCAAAGTCATGTTTTTTTTTCTGGAGTGTAGAGGTGAAATGTCACTTTAATAAAATTTAAACAATTAGAAACTCAAAAGTTAAAATAAAATTACCCCTAAGACTTGTTATTTTGCCTCTTTAAAACTCATGAACTGAAAAATCTGAGAGGTTAGGAAAAATCATCAAAATTATTCTGGCAAAGAAGATCACAGCATGAAAAACCATCAGCACCGAGCAGGTTATAGGAAATGTTAGAATGCAAAAAAATACATAAGGAAAAAAAGTTTTTAAAAAGATGCCAAAGATATTGGTAAGTGCAGCTCCCCAGTTGAAGGCCAACTAGCTATGGCTGATTCATAGATTAGTGTTAAAACTGTAACAAGTACTGTGCTAATGAAGAATATTTTACATAATTACATATGATTATATAAAGCACATGATAAAATAAAAACATTCCACAGGCTTTACTGACTGCAGAAAACTGAATAAAATACTAAGTTTTTGAAAGAAAACTGAAGGAGGAATAGTTTCATAAAATTTTTACAACACTGTTGAAATAAAAACATAAAAAAACATAAAAAAAGTGTACAAGCTTATTCAGTCCAAGTTTTTTTTTTTTCCCTCAACGCTGCCTGTGCAAGTGTTCCAGTGATGTCATCGCAGAAGTCAACGAACTAAGTGCTATACAATATGGTCACTAGAATGTAATGAAATGAGGCTCCCAGAGTTTCCATCAAAACAAAATAATAAGGATGCACAGAAGTTGCAGTGTTAACCGTGAAATGTGATGTGATTTAACACGCTTCTAAAGTTTAATGTGAGGTGCTGTCATCTCTGCTTTGTACATTATGTAATCCGAATGTTTTCTCAAGAGAGAGAATACAAGTACTTTGTTTAAGCTGTGCGGTAAGTGGGTTGTGAGTTACTAAGTATATAGATTGAAGTATTTCCTTTATACAATTATGTGGGGTAACCTTACATTCATACTAGGGATTTGTTTATGCAAAAAATGGAATAGTTATATATAAAGTGCAGCAGACCATAGAGTCCAGCACAGATAATTATGATTGCACTGCATGGGTTACAGTTCACTTTTGGCACATTACATATAAAGATTACATATAAAGCCAAACACAATACTGAAAACATATAATATATACTGGACTTGTCCAACCAGTGGCCCATGAGCTGCATGCGGCCCAAGACGGCTATCGATGCAGCCTAACACAAAATTGTAAACTTAATTAAAATTGATGATTTTTTAAACTTTTTTTTGTAAAAATGCATTTTAAACCCATGCAGCCAAAGAAAAATTGGGCAGTGTCTTTATTACTGGACTTTTAGAAGTTTTATCTTCCCAAAGGAAAATCTTCCACTCTTCACAATTTTATTTATTTATTTCAGGTACTTATATAGCGCCGTCAATTTACGCAGCACTTTACATATATATTGTACATTCACATCAGTCCCTAACCCTCAAGGGGTTTACAATCTAAGGTCCCTAACTCACATTCATACATACACATATTAGGGCCAATTTAGACAGGATCCAATTAACCTACCAGCATGTCTTTGGAGTGTGGGAGGAAACCGGAGCACTCATAGGAAACCCACACAAGCACAGGGAGAACATGTAAACTCCATGCAGGAGGCGCCATGGTCAGGAATTGAACCCATGACCCATTTACTGCAGGGCAGACATGCTAACCACTAAGCCACTGTGCCACCCGTGACAACATCTGTGCCGTTCGTAACAATCATTCCTTATTCATGTCATCAGTTTCCGGCAGCACCTATATTTGTGAACAACTGTTTTCAAGGATGAAGCACACGAAGGGCTAAATTAGAACCAAAATATCTGATGAGCACCTTGCGAATTCATTGAGAATTGCTACTACACCCATCCAACCAGATATTGATGTGTTAGTTTATCAAAAACAGTGTCAAATATTGCACTAGGTTTATGTTGCCCTCTTTTACTTTTATAATAAAAAAAGAAATAAAAGAAAACAAGTTTTGTTACTCAGATAGGTACATTATCTATATCAGTGATCATTAAAGCGGAGCTCCACCCAAAAGGGGATGTTCTGCTTTAAGCCTTTTTCCCCCTCTCCCCATTAAGGATTGGCACCTTTGGGGAGTGAGCACCCGAATTTGCCTAAGGCGGAAGTTGTCCTCCCTCTCCCTCCCTGTAGTCTTCTGGACACGTGACAGGTGCCAGAAGACTATGGGACTATTCACAAAGCGCAGCACTTCCCACGCATGCACAGTGGGCGCCCGGCTGTGAAGCCGCAAGCTGTTACACCCGGTACCCACACTAAAGATGCCGGTGCCAGGGAGAGAAGAAGAATGGTAAAACCAGTGGTGGTGAGGACAACGCTGGACCGAGGGACAGGTAAATGACTGTGTTTTATTTTTGTTTTTTCAGGTGGAACTCCGCTTTAACTTGTGATCTGCCCGACTTTTATGCTCATCAGCTCTCCTTATTTTTAGTGTATTTTATGTGTGGCCCAAGACAATTCCTCGTCTTCCAATGTAGCCCAGGAAAGTCAAAAGGACAACTATGATATCTTTTTTAATTTACCCCTTCTATATAGTCCGATGATGCTATCCACCTCCTCTGTCATTGTAGGTGGGCGGGTGTTGAGTGCTGCAGAAATGTAATGTAATGACGTGGTACTGCTCTCTCTGCAGTATTCTCTTGTGAACCCATGATGGCTGGGTGATGTAATCCTAGGTGGTGGTCCCTTGATGCCCTGGGCTTATAGAAAGCATGTTAAATGATGCTGGGTAACATTCAACCTGGGACAGAAGCAACATCTGTTAATGGAAAACACTTACTGCAGAGGACGGTCCAGAGATAAAGTGAGTATTGCAATTTTTTATTTTTTTTAAATGTCTCGGTCAGGTATTTTTTGCCAGCTGTGCAGGGGCGGACTGGACATTTGGAAACTCGGGCACTGCCCGAGGGCCCGGGGTCAGTAGTGGGCCCCATGAGATGCCCCTGGTACCTTTTTCATAGGCTTTTTTGAGTTTGGGCAAGGACACAGGGGCCCCATGATCCCCTATTGCCCGGGGGCCCCATGAGTTGTCAGTCCGCCCCTGCAGCTGTGTGACATTGGGGAGATTTTCCTTAAGGCTGCATTCACACTTGAGCGATTTGTACCTTGAAGCTTAAAGTTCCAAAAACGCTCAAACTTAAAAAAATCAATTGTCCTCTATGGTGCCTGTACACAAGTTCAGGTGTGGAACAGGTACTATAGAGAACAATAGATTTTTTTAAGCTTGAGTGTTTTTGGAGCTTCAAGCTAATAATCACTCAAGTGTGAATGCAGCCTTATTTCCCATATCCAAAACAGATAAGGAATGCAAGGGAAAGGCCCTCTTAGGCAGCTGTCTCCAGAACAAGAGTTTGTATTGGAAGATTTTATCTCATTTGGAGTTGTTCTGGTGAATATTGAAATTTCCATCACTGTTTGTATCAGTAGACAAAAGGTGACCAGGTGACAATGGTGACCAGGACAAAAATAAAAAGTGACAGTAATAAAACTTGCACCAGAGACCAAATGATAAAAGAGTTCAAATTAATTGGTTTGCACAAAGAAAAAATTCAATACATTTTGGGGTCCATAAAATACTTCATCAGGACTTAAAGTGTTACTTAACCCAGGACCCTGCATTCACTATATCTGGTCTCCCAAAGTACACAGAACATGAAAATGCAATTATTTTAGTAAATATAAACTGCTAAATACCTTTTCTTACCAGCAGTTAGCAGTCTTGTGACTTCTATCAGTGTCCAGCGGGGCACTAAATTAAGCTTGTTGGAGGAGTTTTCATTCTCCCCTGATTGTCTTATGAGGCTGCATGACCCCTGACCGTCTGTCCGGACAGTGCCGATTGGCTCTGTGCTGATCACATTTCCCAAGAAAAAAAAAATACTCCAGCAATATGCACCAAACTGAGCATGTGCAGCTTGCCCCCAAGGCTGTGTTCCAACAGCAAATGGACTGGGAATAGTAGAAGAAGGGGAGGATCAGAGAAGACAGGATCAAACATCTTTTTTACACAATGTGGAGGATTAACTCCTTAGGTTCCACAGTGAGTATAACAAGCATGCTGTACTGCATATACAGACTGATTTTATTGCTGAGGGTTTAGTAACACTTTAAGTGTAAGTTATAAACTTGAATGAACTTTTCTGTGTGAATCTATTTAGTGGCACTCCTTCCATTGGTGCATGTTTAATTTCCTGCTGGGTACCCACTGAAAGGTAGAGCTGTGAGCAGCCTAATCTGAGGCAGTAAGCTCTCCTTTGTTTTCTCTCACTACTTTGTATGAACTCACATCAAGTTGATCCAGGGAATATCCGATTGCCTCTCAGGGGATCAGGATGGATTTTTTTTCCCTTGTAGAAGCAAATTGGATCATGCTTTGCTGGGCTTTTTTTTTTTGCCTTCCTCTGGATCAACTGTGGGTATATGATTGTAACTTTTTTTTTTTCTAATGGTTGAAGTGGATGGAGTTTTGTCTCTTTTCAGCCAGACTAACTATGTAACTATATAAAATCAAAGTCCTAGCACCTCTTTGATGCTTTTTTCTTCATTGGAGCAATCTAAACTTGACAAGGATACAAATCCTTCCATACTCTATCCAAAAAAGAAAAAAAAAATATTGAGAGCTAGATGCACACATCAGTGTTAACTGAACACTGCCAAAATGTTTCTTATTAGTTTTCTCTCTATCTGTTTATGAATACACAACAGCAATAAAAACACTTTTTCTTTATAATTTGGGGTAAGAATAGAACAGCTGATCCAAAGTTGTGATTGTGAAGGAAAATGAGGGTATATCTCCCCAACAGGGCCACAGACAGCAAGCTGACAGAGGTAGAAGCTTGAATAGATTATATCTGAATTCAAAATCATTTCTAAGTAGAATCAATCAAAATACTAAATACGGGGACGCATCTTGTCATTTGTCATCACAATATTAATTGCAAAGTTAATTGCAAATGGACATGTGGTTCACCAGATTTGTCAAGCCATGAAAGGGACACTGTCATGCTGGAACAGAAAAGAACTTTCACAAAACTGTTGCCATAAGGTTGGAAACACATTATTAGTCTAACATGTCTTTTGTGTGTTGTAGTATTAACAGTACTCTTCACTAGAAACACCTGAACTCAATACATTACAGGGGTGTTTATATAGATTTCATCATGTAGTGTAGTTATAACTGTCCGGTGTCAACAAACATTTGATTAGACAGAGTATAGGCTCTCCAGTGGCTTACAGTTTCATTTAGTCCAGTCAGCACCAGCAATCCTGGCAGGAAAGTTTTGCATGCACTGTATGATAGTGCCAAGTTGCAGTCTGAGGCACGCATTATTATTATTATTATACAGGATTTATATAGCGCGAACAGTTTGCGCATCACTTTACAAAATGAAGGTAGACATTACAGTTACAATATAATTTGGTACAAGAGGAAACAGAGGGCTCTGCTCGTTAGAGCTTACAATCCAGGAGGAAGGGTTGAGTGGTAGAAAGGTTATAGCTCTGGGGGGATGAGCTGATGGAGGAAATAAATGGCGATTTACTAGTTAGAAGCAGGATAGGCTTTATTAAAGAGAAATGTTTTCAGGGATCATCTAAAGGTGGATAGATTAGGAATCAGTGGACAGATTGGGACAGGGAGTTCCATAGGATGGGAGAAGCTCGGGAGAAGTCCTGAAGTTGAGCATGGGAGGAGGTGACACGGGAACTAGAGAGCAGAAGGTCTTGGGAGGATCGAAAAGAGCAGTTTGGTTGATATTTTGAGACCAGGTTTGTGATGTAGCTGGGGGCAGAGTTGTGGATGGCTTCATAAGTTGTTGTTGTTAGTATTTTTAATTTTATTTGTTGAGCGAGTGGAAGCCAGTGGAGGGATTGGCACAGAGTGGTAGCAGACACTGAATGCATTAGTCCTCATGCACACTTGATGTTTTTACAGTGCTGTTTTTGGCTTTTGACATTTTTTCCTACAGCCAGTAAACCCCCCAGCATGTTATCCTATGTGTCCATGCACACATAGACTGTAATCAATGTTTTTTGGCTGGAAACTAAAAACCCAGGACTAGTGGGTTTCTAGAGGAGTTTTTTAGCTGTAAAAACGCTCTAACACTGAAAAATGCTAGAAAACGCAGTAAAACACTGTACAATGTGGCAAAACGCAAACACGCGACAAAACGCAACTGATCGTGGTGAAACGCCACTAAAAGCTAATGCAAAAATGCTAAAAAAAGCTGAAAAACTCACAGTTTTAACGTGACTTTGCACAGCTAACGTTACCAGCGTTATTATAATGCCCCATGTGCATGGAGCCTTACTCGTGGTAGCTGGCAAAACGTCTACAAAATAAATAAAAAATGTAAACAGTAGAAGTGAAGCCAAGCTCAGGGCTGCAAGGGTTTCAGAAAATGTATATTATATAGGGCGCGCTTGTTGGAGCCCAACCTCTGTAGCTGTAAGATAAAGGTGCTGACTCTGACTCTGCTCTCCAAGCTTCATTTTTGATGCACAGGCACATCCTGGACTCTACTTCCTGATCCTATAGACAAAGTTTGCTGCTGGACAGCTGGATGTCCCACCTGGTCTAATTACCACACAATGAGTCTTTTTAACTGTTTATCTTGTAAGTGAAATGTATCCATTGTTTACTAAATAAATTGTCAATACTGCACTTAGAGGTGCCTTCCTCTCTTTTTCAAGGGTTTCAGGCAGAATCACAACTTGGGGCCCCTGCATCGTTCTGTGATTTAGCAGCCAGATAACACAAGGTCCCCGAGGACATGATAGCGCAAATTGGCGTTGAGCAGAGCTGAATTGCGAGAGGTCACGCCGCCACTCCGTATGGTAATTGAGTGTGAACAGTGGAAAGATGGATGGAAGTTTGACCATACCAGTGCAAGAGTGGAACTGCACAAAGGATACTGTGAAACAAGGGAATATTGCTGTTCTATTCTTATCATAGCTTTGCTGTGAGTGTTAAATCTCTCTGCACAATGGAAGGATACACATGGATGGTGTCATTTTATAAAACTAGGGTAATAGATTCTACACAAGGGGTGTGCAAACTTTTTGACTTGAGGGCCGCAATGGGTTCATATATTGGACCCGGGGGCCGGACCAAGAGTAGATGAATGATGTGTATGTGTCATCCATAGTAAGTATAGTAATATTCCCCCATAGTAATTAATCCCCCATATAGTAATTCATCCCCCATAGTAATTCATCCCCCATAGTAATTCATCCCCCATAGAGTAATTCATCCCCCATAGAGTAATTCATCCCCCATAGTAATTCATCCCCCATAGTAATTCATCCCCCATATAGTAATTCATCCCCCATAGTAATTCATCCCCCATATAGTAATTCATCCCCCATAGTAATTCATCCCATATAGTAATTCATCCCCCATAGTAATTCATCCCCCATAGTAATTCATCCCCCATAGTAATTCCTCCCCCATATAGTAATTCATCCCCCATATAGTAATTCATCCCCCCTATAGTAATTCATCCCCCCTATAGTAATTAATTCCCCATATTAAGTCCCCAAGTCCCCCCTGTGTCAATTCACTTACCTTTGCTCCGCGCGTTCCTCTCGCCGTGTTCCCGCGCCGTTCCGGTCTTCAGGGCGGACTGTGAGAGGAGCCTAGCTCCCCTCACGTTCGTCACGCTGCCCCGCCTACACACATCCTGACAGCCATCCTGACAGTATCACGCTCTGCGGGCCGGATTAAAAGGTCCGCCGGGCCGTATACGGCCCGCGGGCCGTAGTTTGCCCATTGCTGTTCTACACGGATTGCAAAGTGGACTGGATATTTGCATGTATCATTTGCACTTTCTATTTGCATCTTTAATGAGATCACAGTGAAGTCACATGTGCCGAACATTGATTCATTGATTTGTATGGTTGATTTATTTGGTTTATATGTTTCATATACCTTTAGTGCTGCATTTATAATTAGATAACAGTAATCGTCTGAAAACCAAACCTAGAACTAGTTAGCAATGGCTGGCCAAGACCCATTGACTTTCCTGCTTAAATCAACAG